AATTACAAGCCATTTCGCCATACATTCGATTTGAACGTAAATGAAGCCAATCTGGGTACAATGACTTCGAAGGAAACTTAATTGAATGTGCTGCCATAAATGGTTCCGGACCATGAGTTTTTTTATTGTTATCGGCAATGAAATCGATAGCTGCGCATTTTCAAGTTTGTATCGACCGAATTGATAAATTGTACGTTTGAGATCCATAAACCAGGTTGTGATTAATAGCAAAACATTTCAAATGCGGGCAAAGCCAATCCTCTGGACATCATTTTGTTTTGGTTTTTATTATACAAGCAGAAAATATAATGTTTTGCATTTTAATAATTGTACACTTGATTATATGTTGAAAAAAATGAATGCATAATAAAAATGAACATGTATTGTATAGAGCATGGTCATTTGATCATGAATAAAATACTATAGAACGATGAAAAGAACATGTGCAAACAATGACAATGATGACTTTCGCTTGAGGTGGCATTGTTTTTTTTAGTTTCTATACTATTCAGCATTTATTTTATGAAAATGAAAAACCGAAACAAGGAAAACTCACTAGAGAAGAAAGTTTAAACAATCAGGTTGAGTGATCAATGTTATTATATGCACAATAATTGACTTTTTTCAATTTATGCAAATATTTATTTATTTATTTATTTTGCGTAATATAAACGCAACGAGCTCATTTTAAATTACTCAACAGATTCATTGCCGTCATTTTGTTCTTCAATTTGGTTCAAACATTGTTGGAATGTTCAAGATTCAAAAATGCTGTTATCTCAAAGTGTGTCATTATTTATTTTGGTAAATTCAATAGATTTAACTGCACCTACTTGGGAAAATTTGTGACTTTATAAACATAAATTGTTATCATTGATGATGATAAATTCTTTAAAAAAAAAAATGAAATTTTAACAATGTGTGGTGCCCATTACGTCTACTATACAACGCAATACTCCTCTGCAAGTTATTGCGTACATAGCTTCTTATTGTCTCAAATTTCAGTATATTTATTTAGAACCTTTATCAAAGCAAACATGTTTGCAGTCAATTTAAATCAAGCAGCCTGACTGAATACATTTTCAATTAAAATAGTTTACTTTTGTGTTCTCTTTAAGCGCATAGGTTTTTTTTCGATCAATTAGAGCTTTAAAAATAAAAAAAAAACATGTCAGCGGATAAGAAAATCTACAAGAGACTACATTCGGTGGCTTCCATCGTTCAATTATATCAAGTTCCAAAAAACATACCGGATGATGAAGACTATTTTTCTGGGTAAAAAAAACCAAAAATTCTAATTTAATGAGCGTTGATTTTTCAATATCGTAATATGAAAGGCATTGAAAATTGATCTTAGTGAGTTTTTTGGTGTGGCAATTGCTCTTCATAAAAAAAAGTTGAGCAATAATTTTCGATATCATAAGTGAACGATGCGAACTGGTTAAAGAATCAAAACGACTTGAGTATTCAGCTTTGCTTGAAGATCAATGACTTTTGTTGAGCGTTAGTTGTTTTATGCGTAAAAGGCGTGATTTCAGTCGCATGCGTATATACATACGAAAAAGATAGCATTACGTCCACCTCAATGGGTCTATATTCCCATTCAAAATGCGATTATCGACATCCGCGCACGCAATTTTCAACAAAAATCTCGACACACACACACACACAATAGAATCAGTGGCGTGTGTACTCCACACACTACATCACAAACCACGCTTTTCATTTTTTTTCTAAACTTCTTTTTTACTCTGTCTTTCTTTGACTATGTTGTCAATCCTCTATGTATTCATGATGTTATTTCGTTTTCTCTCTCTCTCCCACACGTTTTCAACGACGTCTCTTTTCTCCCTCTTTGCAAGACTTGACTTTATTCTGCAACGAGATCTATGTCACTGTTGGATTTGCTTGTGCCATGCACCTGCAGGTCTCATCATTTCAATTCAATGCTGCAATCGAGAGTAGATTTCAACGCGAATACGATAAACTATACTTATTATTTCATCATTAAATATCTAGATGTTTAACATGTTATTATCATGATGTATCTTGTGTAGTTTCAATTGTTCTCTATACTCACCTTTCGCCATAATTCCACATACATATTTTTTTTCTTCAATTTTTATTTTGTATCGTCATTCGTTTCATCTATTCTCTTCAACTGACCACGATGTATTACCCATTTTACCACAGAGAGTCAAACGATGGCAATGACATTGTGCTAACAACATAACTATTTCAAAAATCATTCAGCTATGGATGGCATTTTCAGTGAAGTAACGAGTGGACAATAATTATTATTGTTATTCGCATAATATTGACAAAGAATTAAAAGAAAATTGTACGTATTTCTCTCTCTCTCATGTTTGAATGATTTCTCGACGAACCGATTCAATGACTGTGGCAACAGACAGCGTGAAAGCCACAGATCATACATTTTTCGATTAGAATCTAAGTCGAAGAAAAGAGCAAGAAATAATTAAGTAGAAAAATCCATGTTTTCTTGAATGAATGTGTTATGATGGCATTACAGACTCAATAAGGCGAATGAATTCATAAGAGCATTGTGATTGCGTTGGTTTTGTTGCGCATTTTCGTTCGTATTTATTTATAAATTGTTGTTGCTGTTGCTGGTTGTGCTTCCGGCTGTTTTCGTTTGAATGGAGCCGTACAAGTTAAAGGACGCCATCGTATCTTAATATTCGAAATTGTGCTCAAGGAAATTAAAATTTAGTCAACAATCGATTGAGCACACACACACACACACACACAAAAAAAAATAAACAGAGAAAGAGCTAGAAAAGGACAGAAAAGAAATAATTCTGACAATAGATTTTCTATTCAAGCGTGCAAAAATGACGCAGCCATTCAGATTGTCACATGATTGATGTACGGCGAAAGCGAATAAAAGGCGCAAATAACGTATGTAATTGTATTCGAATTGAAAATGATACGTGGATTGAATGGTAATATTGAGCGGCACTTTCAATGACCAACCACCACAATTATCTACATTCAAAATAAATTTCAGCAAAAATTCCTTGCATGGACATGTGCTATTTGCATGTTAAGCGTGTACAGGACGCCACTACGTTTTTGTTTTCTTTTGGACATTTAAATTCCAACGCTTGAACATTGTCATTTCAAGTTCCGCTGATTTATCAAATGTATTCTATCTCTGGAATACCGAATCATTTCATCAACTATAAAAATCATTTTGATTCAAATAGAATGGACATATTCGAAGCGATTCTACGATATCAGTAATATGAAGCGTCGGAAGATTATATTTTAATCGCGAAATAAGCAAAAGTAATGCTCAAGTGTCATGTGGAAGAGAATATCCATAAGATAAATGGCAGAGAGAGAGAGAGAGCGATATGAAAAGTGAATATTCTGGAAAATGGCAATTAAGTTGGTTGCTACTAGAATTATTGCGATTAATACAATTGCTGCATATGCTTTCGTTTGATAAGCATTAACCATTTTGCCTCCCACAATTCCTCGTATAGAGCGAAAGAGAATTTGAAAAAAAGAAGAAAAGCAAATGCATATCATGTTAACAGAACCTAATGGAAAAACAATATACCAGCATGAATTAAAAAAAACTAAGACTGCACCAAATGGTGGTGATGAAATGAGCGAGTGTTTTCTGGCTATTACTGTTGCTTTCAGCATTTAGTCAAATGAAGCGAAACATAGATAAAAAAAATAATGAAAATAGGATATAATGTGATTTATTTGTTTGGCTGATTTGGTTGTTTGTTACTCGAAAGAAAATAAAGAAGACGAAAAAAAAACCAACTGAAATAGTTCAAGCAATAAAAAGACGACATCGTGCAATGAGCTGCTGTTGGAATGTGATATGTTTTCGACGCGAAGATCTGCCAAATAGGCGCTCACACTAAATAGCTATGCTTATGATATTCCATCATGCATTTAGATTTAATTCAGTATCATCACCAGTGATTATAACAAATGACAGACACCCGTACAACTGAAACTGCGAGCTCATCAACGCAACAACGAAACGAAAAATGCTCTCTAATCTTTTTGTTATAATTTGATTTATCTTAACGCTGGTTGTGTTTCGCATTCCGTTCCATTCTTTGCATGTAACAAATCCAATATAAGTCAAAACACAACTACGACATAACAATGCCTCTTTATTATTATTATTACGTTTTTTTTTTTACGAATGTTGTTGTTTACCAATTCAAATTGAATTTATGCTTATTACTGCTTTAGTGTGTATGTATCGTGTCACATATATACGAAAACTCCCTCTCATTTTATTCGTTATCTTACCCAATGCAGTCTCTTCCTCTTTCACAATTGTCGTTGTCGTCGTCGTCGTTTCGCTAGCGTGTTTTATTTTCTTTCATCTTTTTATTTTATCATTTGTTTCTTTTTCTCACTGGCATTCCGTTTGGTCTATTTATTTTGACGAAATAACTCAATCAGTAAGCAAACGAATCAGATGATGATAAGTGGTTGCAGTGACAATTCTGCACTCACAGAAGATCAGTGAAGTGTTTACAATATATTCAGTAAAATATTGTATTCGTTTGTGACTTTATTTTATTGTTTGAATCAAAGACAAAAAAAAAGTAAATAATGATGCGAAAAAGTCGAATATTTACATCGTTCACCGACGACGAACACATTTATGATTCAATATCGGATTTTGATCGTACTCACTTTCAAACGCATTCACTGAATGATATTCATCGTGCGTCATGCAATTCATTTACATCAGATGGTTTTCGGAGTCGAAAGAGTGTCACGTCGCCCATTGAATCCAATGAAAATTGTTGGCAACAATACTGGGACTGGTATTTTTCTTAATAAAAAAAAGTTGTGTTTGTTCTTTGTTTCATTTGAATCGCGTCACAGGCCATATTTATTTCTATATTGATGTGATAAAAACATATGTACCAAATCATATTTCTCATTTTTTTTTTTTCGTTTTTTTTTTGTGTTTCCGCGCAATATTCTAGTGAACAAAGTATCATTGGAGCTCGTGCCTCTGTTATGGTATACGATGACAATCAGAAGAAGTGGATTCCGTCAGGCACATCATCCGGTTTGAGCAAAGTGCACATCTATCACCATCAACAGAATAACACGTTCCGTGTGGTCGGCCGTAAACTACAAGATCATGAGGTTGTGATAAATTGTTCCATACTTAAAGGATTGAAATATAATCAAGCCACACCAACCTTTCATCAATGGCGCGATTCAAAATTTGTCTACGGATTAAATTTTTCCAGCCAACAAGATGCTGAGGCATTTGCCCGTGCTATGCTACATGCGCTTGAGGTTTGTATTTTTTTTAACATTTTCCGACTTCTACGAAAATAATCGTATTTCTGTAATTAATTTTTTTTTATTGAATTCTCGCACTTGAAATTTTACGGAAAACTATTTAGGTACTAAGCGGTCGAGTGATACAGCCGAATGTACCGCCACCGCAAAATGGAAATATAGGCTATGATGAAGACATGGGATATCGAACGATGACCCGTGAAGATGCCGCAATGATACAACAAATTAGCACACCTTCAACTGTTCATACACCAATTTCACAACAACCACAAAATAGTCAGAATATTCCACAAAGTCCACCAAATGCACAAGGACATCATCGTACAAGCAGGTAAGGCATCGTAGTCTCACGTTCAATTGTCACAACCATAATCACAATCAAATGTTGAATAAATTTGTTTGTTTGTTTTTTGATTGCAGTGCGCCTCCGCAAGGTTTCGGTCCATGTGGTATTCCACCAAATCAAGGACAGTATCATCAGCCACAACAACAACAACAGCCACCACAAGCACCTCCACAACAGCAAGCTGGCACAATCTACTCAAGCCAATTATCTCAAGCATCCTATGGCTCAAATCAAGTAAATTCTCAAACTTCTTATCCACACCCATGCAACGTTTTATTGCATTTACAACACATACGTAATTTTATTTTTGTTTTATTTATCATCAGAATATGGCACAATATAATCAACCAATTTATGTGTCGTCAAGCTCAAATCAAAGCTTAAACCAACAACAAATGAATAGCGCACCAATTCAAAATCAAAATGGCGCAATATATGTGTCATCCAATGTGGCCAACCAACCTGGCATGGTAATGGGTTATCAAGCGGTTAATAATCATGTACCCGAACAAGGTAAAAATAAAATCGACAAATTCCAAACACTCACATAAATATGAACCAACTTTCAATTTCTTTGATTTTTTTTTCCCAATTTCTTTATTCAGATATTTATGGGCAAACAAATGGTGCTTCAAATGCAAATGGATATGGTAACGGTACAGCTAGTTCACAATATGGTCAAACTCTGAGCCAAACAGCACCTCCACCACCACCGCCGCCATTTAATGCTGGTACGTTTTTTTCATTTCAATCTATTTTTTGGATCCAACAAATGGATTGCTTCATGTAGATCGACTTCCATTTCCCTAACTCTTTCGATTGCTTCTAGTTCGCTAAAATGTCCAAATTAAAATGTTCAATCTTATATTTCATTTGCGTTTCAAATTGATATACGAAACAAATACCTTTTATTAAATTGGTCTTTCTCGACAGTCACACCACTTATCAATTCGTTTGTTTTTTCTCTAATCGATAATAATAAAGCGAATATTTCGTGAACAGCGTCTGAAGCCGAATATTCATTCCAAATTATTTTGACAATTTCACAAACGAATTCGGGTGTAATTGATATTGATTCGGACCTGAAAAATTTATTGAGTTTTCAATTAAAATCGTTTTTTTTGACAATTGTTATTTGATTTTCTTTCATATGCACCAATTTTTCGTTGCTTTATAACTTACATCTTTTTTTTTCGCTCACTTCAAGTAGTTTTTTGATTTGGTTAAATGTTTGATTAACGTTGAAAAAATGTGCACAATGTAATTGCATATGCTCGAATAAAATGTCACATTTTTAACAGTGCAATGATGCTACTGAGTGACATTGACACTTCTTAGTGTACTAAAATATGTAGAATCTGCACTATGTTTATTGTTTAAAGTGGACCATTTAGTACAAATAATATATATTTGGTATTATCCATCTTTAAAAAAAATATCTATGATTTACAACCGAAATAAATTAAATTGACAACTCCAGGAAATAAGAAAACAAAACGTTAATCACTCAATGGAAATTAAATTATTTGAATTGTTTAGCAGGTTTTGCAACAAACGGATCAGTGCCACCACAGCCGCCAGCTGCACCACCAATAGCTGGTCCTGCGCCAAGCACGGGTTCAGCTCCACCGCCACCGCCACCACCTCCAATGGGCTTGAATCAAGGACAAGGTTCAATGGATATGAGTTCATTGGCCGCCCAACTGCAACAGGCCAAACTCAAACGAAATGCCAAATCAAATGCAGCGCAGCCACCAGCCGAAAATAGTGGAAGCAGTACATCAAGTGGTGGAAGCAATTATAGTACTGGTAAGTTTATTTCTTTTTCATTTTTTTTATTCATCAAACATTTCATCATTTGTAATAATAACAACATCAAAAAGCGGTGAACACAACAAGGTAAAACGAATTTATTTATAAACAATGTACATTTTTATATAGGCCGAGTGTCAGGCGGTATGGCATCAATGATGGACGAAATGGCAAAAACATTAGCACGACGACGAGCTCAAGCTGAAAAGAAACCAGAAGTAAGTAACACTTATGAAAAAAAAAAAAAACAACTGCGAGGTTACAAAGTGGCTACTTGAAAATGAGGAACACACTTCGCAATCACATGACGATATTTATTTTCATTCCATTTCTTTATACAGGTCGATACAAGTAGTGATCAAACTCGTCCATGGGAAAAATCCAATACATTGCCACATAAATTGAGTGGAAATGGTAGTGGCGCACAAAATAGCACAACAAACAACGGCACCACAAGCAATGGAGCTGAATCGCCACGACCATCGAGAAAGCGATTCGGAAGTGCCAGCGAAGAAACTATTCTGAAGCAAGTCAATGGTGATGGTTTGTCCATTGCAAATTCACATGAGCTCGAGGCACTGAAAGCAGACATTCTACGCGAAATGCGAATTGAGATTAACAAAGCAACAAAAGAGATCATAGATGGTATATTTCTTTTTTTTTTTTGTTGTAATTCATAATGTTCTTAGAAAAAAGTGAGAGAAAATAAAAAAATTAATTTAAACATTTTCTATCATTTCAGTTATCAAAACGGAATTCAATCGAAGGTAAGGATGAGAGTTTCATGATTAGCCAGCATTTACAATGAATGAGAAACCAAAACCGTAATGGAAGCCCGATTCCGTTCAACGATAAGCTAAAATTGTATTACATCTGTCTTCATCTACTTATAATAAGTAATCCGCAAATTAAAAAAAGAAAAACAGTGAAAGCATTCTAAATACACACAAACACAAAAACAAACAATTGCTACATGGCCGAGTTCATAAACTGATTGATAAATATTACGACATTCTATGCGTATGCAATGTGAAAAGCATTGTTTTTTGATTTTCAAGTAAAATGACGACATTTATGACTAATAAAATTGTTTTTATTACGATATAAGCAGAATGAACAGAGTATGCAAAATTATTGAAGAGAGCGAGAAAATATGTCAAGCACGATTTATATTAGCTTAAATCATATTTTTTGTTGGTCAAAAACAAGACAAGAAAAAAAAGAAGCACTTAAACAAAAACAAAAAAAAAACACACACGCAGATACAATATGCACTGATTTATTTTTGAATCGGAACTAAGCACGTCCAATAGTGAATGTGTAAAATATGAGCATTCCAACCGTACCTGCTGTTCAATGCTGATTTCTCAGTATTTCCTCCACGCACACAAACTCTATTTAAAACAAACACAAAACAAATCAAACCAGCCACAATTTACAGTACCAGTACAGTTCTTTCTCTCGATTATTTAGATGCATGTCAGTCTTTTTTTATAAAATCGCGTTTTTTAATCGTCATCGTCGAATTTCGAATAAATCAGTAACTTAACGAGTTTCAAATTAATGAATACATACCGATAAAATTTAAAACGGTTGATCCTATTGATATACACACAGACCTAACAAACAAAAAAATATACGACAAACCGAGATTAGAATACATAACGATTAGCCTATACAATTAAATGAAATAAGAAGACAAACAGAAAAAAAATATCTTGAAACACACCAAATTGGAGTATAAATTAGGACCTAAAACAACGTGTTAGTAATTACATTTTATACAATTTATAGTTAAAATAAAACATCGTTAACAAATGTCGATTTAACAGCTGAACAAGACAAAAAAAACTATATGTAAATCATTGAATTTGGCGAATACCAGATTCCGACTCGATTTTTGCATTAAAAACAAAACGAAAACGAACAATGAGAGCTAAAACATTGAAGAGAACAAACATTACGATCGAATGGTTTTTCCATAGAATTTAAAATAAATTTTTTATGGTGTTTGCGTTACCACGATGATGAGCATCAACACTGTGCATCTCTCTGTCCCTGTCTCTATCTCTCTGTCTCTTTATCTATCTCACTATGTCGTCTGACATTAGAATAATCTCTATTTCAACACATATTGTTGTTGTATTGCTTGTGTTTATTTTCTCGCCTATAATTGTAATTTTTTTTAAACCGTCTGATATTCGCCTGTCTTCATGTCAACAGGCCCACGCCACATGCATACACAAACACACGAAAAAGACAAACAAACTAAAAAAACAATCTCTAGATGAAATTACTCAAACAAACCAGAAGCTTAATTATCAAAAATTAAATCGACACACACACACACCCATTTTATATATAATTTATTAGCATCGATTCTCCAAATGATGAGAGAGATCTTAGATTTATATTGTACTTCCTATTATTATATATTAATTGTATAATAATAAACTATGTAAACGGATGATATTTAAGATGACATATTGTATAAAACAAAAGCAGAAAAAAAATGTGCATTTTACATACAAATACAAAAAATAAACAAAAAAAAAAACACTAAAAATATCAGCTACATTAATAAACCGTATTAACATAAGGTGCAGCCTATTTCTTAGCACGAAACTCAAACTTTGGCCAAATACATCATAGTTTTGTGGTTTGGTTAATTCCGTTCAATATCACACACGCACACACACACACACACGAAATTGTAATATGTGTTTTTATTTTGAACGTGGACAAAAAAAAACTGTTGAGTTTCGTGCATAAATAGACACTTCCTTGATATATGTTTTAAAAAAAATTAAACTATTTCATAAATCGAATACCGTATTTATACCAACTTAAATATAATATGTTACAATCGTACCCGTTTTAATACATTTTCACGAATACGAATCATAAGCAACAATTTATACACAAATTGGAACTAGTTGTCGTTAAATCAAACTTCCTTCACATTTTTCGTTTTCATTCATCATTTATATTTTTCTCGCTCCGACTTTTTACAAATACACATGCCGAATGTTACAGTTTTTTGTGCATATTTTGTTATTTATACTTCTCTTCTCATAACTAGCTCATAAATGATCTTTGAAAAAAAAAAGAAAAGAAAACACAAAAGAATTATGTGATTTGTTCTTTGTATTAACAACTTTTTTTAAAATTATTTTCAGTCGCTTATAAGATATGTCAATTTTTTATTTGTCAAAAAAAAATTCTTTCAAAAACATAAAACATATGAGCTGCTAGCCTAAATCGATGTCATAGATAATGGACGAACTGATTTTTACTAAATTAAGCTTAAGTAATCAATTTTGTCCAATATATAAACGTATTAAATTCGAATGGAAAATGTTAAATCTCATGGAGTTGTATGGTTTTTATACACCAACTCTTCCCCTCTATCATTCTTTTAACATACAATTTTGATGATGAATTGGTACACATTGTTTTTAAGTATTGACTCTTGTAATACATTTTTTTTTTCTATACATAAACATTTTCTAAACGAAAAAAATCGGTTCGAAATGTGGCACAAATTGGTCAAGACGGTGTTTTTTTATTTATGCTGTCTCAAGTAAAAAAAAATCCAAAATGAAAAAAATAGATATGAATTTTCAATGGAACGATATTCGAGATACATTTCGTCTCAAACTAAATTTATACGAATATAGAATAATTTATCAATTTTATTAGTTGAGACAAATGAAATATTTGAAACAAAAAAAAAGTGAATATTGTGCATCAAATTGAAGACTTAATGTAATTATATTATATGAAAATTATTCGCAAATTGCGATCACATTTCCAGATTCTAGACGTTTTTTAAATTTGAACAAACAAACAAACAAAAATTATAGATGTAAATTTATTGAAAACGAAGAACGTTTTTTTTTAAGTATTTGAACAAATAAAAATTTAACTATATGTGCTGACGCGGCGTAAATAAAATACAGAAAATATCATACGAAACAAATAAAAAGAACCATGTATAAGTGGTCAAAATGAAAATAGAAAACACAACATAAATTATTTATTATTATGTAATAAAGAGAAAAAAAAATGAATCTATTGAAATAACATAAAAAAATGATGATTTCTTTTTTGGTCTGTGAAATTATAATTACTATATGCAAACAACTATGAATGAGTTTGAAAGGAAAAATGTTTCATAATATACCAATTTCAGAAAAGAGACGTTTTTTTTACCAAATACATGCATACATTACTGGATAGAATTTTGAACGATAAACACACACATAAAATTGAAAGAAAACATGAAACCGGCGAGAGTGAGATTGGGGTCAATGGGAAATATATGTATTTCCTTTTCATATATTAAAGCTGTTGATAGTTGCTTAAATGTATTATATTTATTAAAAAAAGCAAAAAAAAAAAATAATGAACGAAATGACGCAAATCGAATTAAACACAAATGCTAAAAAAATGAATGAACAGACTACTCGAATGAGATAAAATGTATTGAATATAAATGCTAAATAATAGATTTCAGACAAAATTTAAACACAAATTTAAATTATACGCTACCAACATTGTTTAAATAAATACTTCAATTTATCTGAAACATACATAAAAATACAATTGAACGAAAATGACATAAAAACACACCATCCTGCTTTTATATCTTATACTATATCTATTTGATTTTTTTCTTCAATCGGCTTTTCCTTCATTTTTTTTAGTTTATTATTATTTGTTGTGATTTTGATTGTCTTTTGGTGGGTTCTTGTTGCGATGTTTATTGTTATATTTTGCGAATTGTTTTTCTTTTCTATTACGAATGAGGTAAGTGTTTTTTCGCTTGTTTCTATGTCACACTAATTTGACTGCGTAAATTGCCAAATTGAATTCAGGTTAACACAGCAAACAAAAATCAAAAATGTCATCCATTTCAAAACGAAAAAAAAACTAAATATTTCAAATTTCAACTTTTTCGAAAATAACAAACCAAAAAAAAAATCGTTTAGATTTTGAAGCAATCACAGGTCATTGTTGATTATTTATTGTCGAAATACAGAAAATGCAAGCAAAATAACCAAAGAGATACGAGCAATGCAACAAATATTATGATAAGAAATTTATAAATTTATATATAAACTAAAATTTCAAGCGAATAAATTATGAAGATTAACGAAAACATTTGGTGTTTACATTTATTTTACATCAATTTTTCGATTTGCTCATTTTCACGTTGATGACTCCTTTTTTTTTTGCACGAGCCATTTCCGATTGAAAAATTACCATTTGCATTCATTTCCAATTCGATTTTAATAAAATTTGGCATTTATTATTTTTCTCTATTTATTATTCTTCGATAATCATTTAAAGGGTCTGTATTACCGACATTCCATTCAAATACATTCCATGCATTATCGTTTTCTGGTAAGTAGTACAATTTTGTCATTACATTGTGATCGTACAATGAATATCAAAATGTTTGCTTACATACTAAATAGAATAGATTTTTGAGCTGGAAATAAATTTGAGTTTTACATTTATTCCAATAAAAAATTATTGTTTTGATTTAGTTTTTCTTGAATTGAGTAAAAATATTTTCGATTTTAACGTTTATTTTAATGTCAACGCGACGGCGCTGATTCGGGATAAAAATAACAACAACCAACTTCACGCTAGTTTGTTTAAAATTTAAATTTCGACGGATGAATTCGACTGGTCACAAACAAGCTCAGTTGTTCAGCTGTGTGAAAAATAGTGCATTACCTTAAATATTATATTATTTGGTTAAATTGTTGGTTATTTGTTAGTGTAAATTGTGGAAAATCATTTTCCAAAAAAAAATCAAAACAGAAAATTGTTGAATTGATTATAAAATATACAATAAAATAAGTAGACGGAAAGTTTTTTTTAAAAATAAAACAACAAGACAATGGAGTCGTTTCCAAATGATATCCATGCGATATTAAAAGAGCTAAGCCAATCCGAACAAGGCCAAGATGAATTAATATCGGTAGTTGATATATTTTTTTATATTATTTTTAAATGAAAAGTGCACATTCAAAAATGTTTCACAAGAAATTGGTTTTTTTTTCTCGCAAACAGTGTGTTTCAGTAGTGATTTTGACAGTTCATATTTTTGGTTTTAGATGTAGAAAACTACATCATTTTTTTATTGTTTATATAAATTTGTCAATGTAAATGTGAAATGGCTGTGAATTAACCGAAAAAAAATCAATTGCCTGTTAGAATTTATAATGATTTAATAATTCAATGAACATGAAAAAGATTGATTTTGACGATTTATATTCGAATTTTAACCATTTTGCAGAGTTTCAAAAAAGGAATAGACGATGTTATACAAAAGTATGTCCTATCCAAAAGTACTCCAGTCAAGCCTAGTAAGAAAAAGGCCAAGGGTCGGGTAGAGAAAGTAGATAGTCAAGGTGAGTGAAGATTTATCAACAAATTTGAGCCATTTTAATAGAGATTCATGAAAATATGTTTTAATTTAACATTTTGTCATACGAAACGAGCAGAGGACAGTTTTTCGTCAACAAATTCGTCGAGAACGACAGCATTGAATGGTCATCAATCTGGCGAAGATGAGCCATTATTGATGCGGCCTGTTCGTACAGGTCGTGCCAAACAACCAACATCTTACGTATGTATTTATATCTAGCGATCTGTTGTGAGAGCTCTTTAGCCAATGATTTTTAAAATAAAACAATGATCAATTTCAGAAAGAGCCGCCATTGAATGTAAAAATGCGTCGAGATGGTACAATGACTGTTGTGAATGTTAAAGTTGAACGAATGTCAACGGATGCAAAAGCAGAAGAATCAAGAGCCACTCTCACTGCAACGACTGCCAATGAATCGGTGCGTCCGGTTCGAATTAAAAAGGAGAAGATCGACGGTACAAGTGTATCAAAATTGGACAAAACGAGCCGCTCCGAAACAAATGTAACAAAGAAAAAATCAAATGATTCAAACGATTCGTTAGAGATAGTGCCAATGGAAACTAATCCAACTATCGAATTGTCTGACGATGAAAATGGAAATGATGGCAATAAGATGCCACCTCCAGCATTTGTTCCACCAATCAAACCAACAAAAGAAAAGAAACCGCCCGCGGAAAAGAAAATTCGATCAACACGATCCAAACAACCGAAACGCAAGGTTTGAATATTTCATTCCCGTAACATTTTGCTGTCGTCATTGATGTCAATACTGTGATTTTGATTTGATTGCTTTCTTTTATAGATTAAACAAGAGCCAGTATCAGAAAGTGAAGATGAGGCCACACCCAGTACCAGCAATGTTGCCAATGTGGCTAGTACCAGTAGCACAGTGTCTGAAGAAAAATCGGTTCGACCAAGTAGAAATGCCGCTGATAAATCCAAAGCAAATCGTGTGCTTAACACTAGTGGTGAATCATTGTATGAAGATGCCATGTCACAGCCTACTACTAACACAACAACTGTAAGCATTGCAACGTTAATGTGCTGTGTTCATTGATCAACAAACAATTATTCAAATGTTTTTTTTTTTTAATGAAACGTTTTTCAGGCACAGCCACTATCACAACAGTGTGATGCAACATTTGTAACAACAGTTGACGATACTGAAAAGGAACAATTGTCACCACGTGGAACGTATATTATACCAAAAGGAACTGGTGACACCAATGGTCCAAATGGAACGTTCAATGTTGAACAAACAGCAACTACCTCGAATCGTGTCGTTAACAATCAAACTATTGTGGTTGGATCAAAAGCGACAACAGGTGCAAAAGTCTCTGGCAGCAGTTTAATGACAGAAGATGATTCAGATTCAGATAGTGGCGTTCGAAAATACGGAAAGAAAGATGCCAAGGATCAAGGATCAAAGAAAAATGCCAAGGAACAAGGATTATTCGTGTAAGTGTAATCATTAAATGCAATTTCTTTTTTTTGCCGTATGATTAACAAATTTGTACTTTCCATTCAGTCCAATCAAACAACGTGTTGAGACATTCGAAAAGTTGCAAACCCCGCTAAAAGAAACTCGCACCAGGGCAAGAGCTGTGGAATCCGATGTATGTGATCAATCAACACATTTTAACAAATTAAAATCGAATTTTCTTAATGAATGTTGTTGTTGTGTTTTTTTTTTTGTGATTTCAGAGATCAAAAATGGCACACGGCTCATTATTCTCAAAGAATACCCCATCCGAACAAGCAGGCAAACATGCTCGTGCCAATTCGGCTACTCGAGGTGCCCAAATTATAAAACCAGCATTGACAAAATCCCAAAGTGTTGAAGAGATTCGCAAAAAAACAATTGTAAGCATTTATCTAGTGAGCTAATCCAAAGAACTTTCTAAACGTGTTTTTAACGGAAAATAATTTATTGATATTTTATATGGTTTGATTCAGGCTGCTGCTGCAAGTGAAAAAAAGAAAAATCAAGATGATAAACTAAGAAAAGCTGCACAAGCAAGAGAAGCACAAGATAGAGAAAAGGCCGAAAAACAACGAAAATTATTACTTGTAAGTAAATTCATTGTAAATTCTCATTTTTTTTATTTGTAATTACCACATTTTGATGGCGAAACAAAAAAAATAATTCGGTTAAAAATATTCTAGGAGAAGGAAATGCGAGCTAAAGAAAAAGCACAGCAAAAGCAAATGGAAGAAATGCAGAAGCAGCAAGAGCAAAAGCGTAGAGAAGCTGAACGTGAAAAGAAACGACTGTAAGTTGATATGCAAAATAATGTTGTGTCGATTACCTTATCATCGTCATAATTTGACAAAGTTGCTAATAAATAAATTGTCGATCGTATTGCAGTGAGATACAAATGGCAAAGAAAGCAGCGGCTGATAAGAAAGAGCATGAACATTACCTAAAGGTGTTGGCCGAGAAGAAAATCATGCAAGAAAAACTTAAACAGAATAAATTACAGGCTGAAGAGCAACGAAAGAAAAATCCATATAATTTCGATATGTTGGATAGCGGTGACTCAACAGACGACGAAGGAAAAACATCGAACAAACGACCATTGCCACCGCCATGGAGTACGTCAAATAATCGTTATGGTTATGTAATGGCTCAAGCACGAGTTAGCACTAAAGTTACGGACAAATTCTTCTCAGTGGCACCGCATGAAGTCGATTTACGTGAGATTTTCCCAAAAATTGACGAAAAGCATTTGCGCAGAAATTCGAGTGCCGTTTGGAATTCACCGCCTCGCTATTCTCTATTGCCAAAATATTAATTCATTCATTTTTTTTCCAAGTTCACAGATTCAATTGTATTTTATTACAAGGATCAATGAATTCGATATAATTTTCAAAATAAAACACATCAATTTATACTTTTTTTTTTCAGCAGAAATTTGTATTTATTTTTATAAAATTATATCACAGATTTCACGCTCTGATTATTTGGATGAAAACTTTGATGCGATGAAGTTTTGATAAAAAAAAAAATAAACATATTACATAGAAAAAGGATCGATAAAAACTAACAAACTTTGACAAAATTTCATTAGAACGTTATTGCTTTCACTTCTTGTTGTTGTTGATGTATTTGATTGGTGACTGAAGTATTCGGTTGAAACATACAAAAGAAAATGAAAACTCTTTCATGTCATACGTTACTATACGTATACATCTATATATGTGACACAGATGGTGGCTGTTCGTCTCCAAATAATCCAGTATAAGTATGATTTACTATCTAAAGCACACTGTGCATTCAAGCATGAACCTTCGATAAACACGTGTTGAGCTCATATCGCCCGAATGTGACTCTTAACATAAAATTAATTTTAAAATTTATATTATGCATACGATTAAATTAACGGATTTACGATTGTTGTTGTTGGTGTTTTTGCTAAAAAAAAATTTTTTCTCTCTTTTAAATTAATAATTGATTCTCGAATCAAAAACGTTCAGTTCAATTTAATTAAAAATAAAAAATTAAAATGAAATCGGTATACTTTAATTACTTGGTATTTGCACGTAAAAATATTTTATAAAAGCAGTCCAAATATTGCAAAATTGCTTAATGAGAATAAACGACACAGAAAAGAAATAGAAATAGATAAATTCTAAATTATGTTTGATAAGCACAATGCGGCCTGCAATGCGTTTATAGAATTGTTTGTTTGTTTGTTCTTTTGTTTGCTACTATAAATGCGATAGAACCAACATGGCAGATATGAATAGAACGATGTTGACGGCGGTACCCGAAACGATCGTCGCTTTTGATGAAATCAATGGCTCTCTTTGTTGTTGATCCTCATCGTCGTACACTTCATTCGAATACGTTGATTGTCGACGACATCCCATCCATCGTACGGCAGACGATTCTGGTCTGCTTCGTGCCACATGCATTATCGAATCGTTGAATTGCCAAAATGATTTACCTTTGAAGAAATACGTTTTTCCTATTTATCGAATTAAACAAAAGAAAAATAAAATGTTGATAAAAATGCGAGAAAATGTTATAGTCGTGAATAATTATCTATTATATTGATCGTATACGTTTGATATACATAAATTTAATGGATATTCTTTGAATCTGTTGAATATCATTATATATAGACTAATCAAATGTTGTCAAAATCAAATTTACCGTCTTTATATTGAAACGCTGCATCGATGTGGTAACCAATACCTCGCCAAATTGACATATCACGTGGATAATCTAATTCCACGTGATGAATATCTTCGTCGAATCTGCAAAAGAGATGAGATGAAATGATTTTACTTTTGAGCACACATGGCTTATCACAATTCAAATGTCTGTTGTGTGCGATACAATACGAGCGTGTGTATATCAAAACCTCCCACTGATTTCATGAGATTGAGCCAAGCAGCAAGTGCATGCTCCCACACACACACAAACAGCGTAACATTGTTACATAAGTTTTTTCAACATACACACTAACTTCAATCAGATTATTATTTGCATTTTACCTCCAATACATGGTTCCGCTATAGAAATATGTTCGATTGTTGTGACCCCATACCAGAACAGCATCGATTTTATCCAGTGATGCTGGTAACCCAAGAGTGGTTAGTGCTTTGGGGTAACCATCCTCCAATTTATTTGAATTGAAAACGTAATACATTTTTCCTATCGAAACGAGATACAGAAAGAGAGAGAGAGAGAGAGAGAGAAACGCATTGAAAAATAGAATGAAATCGAAAAAAAAAATTCATGAATATTGAACGAAACAGGCGCGAATGAGACACATAGGGTAGACGTGAAAACTCAAGGGAAAGTTTAAAGAGATTTTTAAGTGTATCGACTTTGATTATATTCGCATGCCTGATATCGTACGGTTTTTGTGTGTCACTTCGCACCGTTTTATCTTTTGTTATCATTTTAAATGGAAAATATGCTTACCAATGAAAAATACGATTTTTCTCTGTTTATTCTCATAGACGGCATCAATGTGAGTGAAATTACTTGGCAATTGATTCCATACACGAGTGATTTCGTGCGGATAACCGCTATGCAATCCATTGTCGCCGATACGCCACAAGTACTGAAAATTCATATAACCAGTTTATGTATGCTCAAAGTCCATTGTGTACAGTGTACACATGTACAACAATTGTTTGTTTTAGTTTTTTTTGTTGTTATTGTTGTTGTCTACTTACGCGATCTTTAAAGATAAATAGTTCATTTCGAATGATGGTGATGGCATCGTAGCTGGTGTTGCATGTATCTGGTTTTTCTTTCTTAGGATGATTTTGTCCATTTTTATTGTATTTTGGATGGTGATTGTGATCATGCCATGGTTTCTTCGGTGTTGCTGTTGTTTGATATCGTCGACGTTCATTTTCTCTCTCCCATTCAGCCTCTTGTCGTCTTCGTTCCTCTTCATCTCGTTCACGTTGTTCGCGCTCTTTTTGTCGTCTTCTCTCTTTTTCTTTTTGCTCATGCTCACGTTCGCGTCGTTCCCATTCTCTTCTTTGCCATTCTTGCCGTTGACGTTCTCGTGCTCTTTCTCGTTCTTCTTGTCTTTCTCTCTCATCGCGTTCTCGTTCACGATCACGATTTGATGGATCACGATCAGGATAATATGATCGTGGTGTTGTTGACGTTGTCGATGTTGTCGTTTGTGGTGGCCGTGGATTATCCAATGTACCCCATACCTTTTCACGTGATCCATAAATTTGCTGAATCGCCAATCGATCATCTTCGGGTAATTCTATATACTTTTGCGGCCCATGATACCATGGAAACATAATTGCACTATCAACGGACGAATGTCCTAATCCCAGCGAATGACCAAACTAAACACAATATTTGATTTAGATAATTAATTTCAAATGCAAACCAAAGAGCTTTTTGTAATATACCTCATGCACCGCAACGCCCATTAAATTTGTACCTGCGACAAAGAGAGAGAGAGAGAAATGATGAAAAATAAATATTTTAATTAAAATTATACTTCAACTAAAATTGAAAGCAACCACTTCACACGATATTCAGAAATGTTCTTCTATCACTAGATTTGTGTGCAACTTTGGAAAAAGTTTGTACATTGTACTATATGTATGTCTTTTATATTAAGAAGTTATAATATTCAAATCAAACAATGGAATGTAATTGGAAAATTGAATTGATTACAGTTTGATAAAAACGAATTTTGGGATTACATTTCGATTTCTATACTCTTTGTATCTTTTCATTTGGAAACAATTCACTGTGTGTGTGTGTGTTTTTTTTTTTTGTTGATTCCAATTTTGTCGTTTTCATTGAACTGAATCACTGATAAAATAATTTAAATCATACCATCACCCTCGCTTGGAGACAAAACCCATTTTTCCTCTTCGTCAAAATGCGCATCACCGCCACGACCACTTCCTGGATAAAATGCATGAGCCAGCACAGATCCCGGTCCATCGAAATCATATCCGTCACCATGATGTCTCCTAAAATTAAAAAAAAAAAACAAATTTTATTAAAACTTACTCAACATTTGTCATAGTCATCTAAGTAGATAGATTTTGAGCTCTTTGACCATTTCGACACTGATTGGAATGGTAGTTGATAAATGTATCTGATCATTTTACTTCGATTAAAATCATATTTCAAAAATGAAAGTAATAAATGAGATGAGAATACAAAAGTTTTTCTTCAATTTTCCTCTTTTGTCTCCATTTTTTAGCTCCACCAAACATTCAATAAAGTTGAGTGAAAATTCAGAAGACACAAATAATAATAATAATCTCGAAAGCAGAACACTTCTATGCGAAAAAAAGGGAAGAAGATTAAAGTGTCCGATTGAAAAAAAAAATCGTGCAACATTTTGTTTGTTGTTTGTGTAGATGTTTCGATAGTAAATGAACTTATGGGTTCGAAAATGTTCAGTGAATTGAAGAAACAAAAACAGAAATATCCTATAGCAAATCGAAGTGCGCTGGTCTTGCTTATCGGACAGCCGTGAAACTAACTTTGTGAATGGTTTCGCACAGTATCGGAAATTAGAAACAGTGTCAGTGATACAATGATGAAGAGGAAAAAGTTTTTCGAATGGAATGCGAAAAGCGCAATCATTTTAAGAAGGTCACATACATATATAGACACGAACATTTTTTTTTGATAAATAATTTGTTACTTTTGTTCGGCTGTTCAATTTCTCGTGGTCGCTTTAAATTAACCTTTATGCCAGTTTTGTGTGTGAAAGTTTTTCGATCAAATGTATATGGAACCAAATTTTATTGCCATCGAATACATAATACGGTTTTGTAAAAATGCTAACGCTCAAGCGAGAAATAGTTTACGACCAACATTTTTTCTCTCTATCTCTCTTCTATCATCCCAGTTTTTCTTGTTCATATTCTTTTCCTTTCGTTTTAATGTTGTTGCTCTCATATGCGACGTATTGAGTAAGGTTATTTGAACAATTTTCCTTACCGTGCGAACAAAACTTGAATATCTGCATCTTTGCTGTACACCTCTTGGAATGTTAAACGTGATCCACGTGACCAAACATCTAGCGCTTCGCCCAAAATTCGTCGCACCTTTCTAACATCTAAATCGGCCATCGTTTGATTCACCAAACTGTAAATAAATAAGAAACATAAAAAAAATGGTTGTTATTAAGAAGCACTCGTAGTTTGAATCAAGAGATTTTGCAGAGGTCACGAATTTCCGGTTTCTTTAAGTCTTTTTTTTCGGTTTTCGGTTGATAACCAATTTATATTCTTGCAAAATTGCGGTTGAGCAGCTCTTGAGCTGTTTGCATTTGTTGGTTCATAAATCACAAATAAATTTGATTAAAAAATATGGAAACTCCTTCTTTCGGTCTTTGAAAAGGAATCAAACAAACTTTCTAGGTGATGGTGTGTGGTGGTTTTTATGTCGATAATAGCTGTGTTTTCTGTGTTTCACTTTGGAAAGTCTTACTGTTAAATACTTGAGACTGTTGCATTCAGATGCTGTGCAGCAAAAGCGAATTGAAATGATGAATTTACATTCAGAAACAATACAGACTATATGCATTCAGAATATTTTGCTGCAAATAAATAGCTTTCATAATTGAAATGTAATTGTGTGTGTGAAAATTCGATACAACAAGCTGTAATCTCAACTATTCAGTTGGCGTATGCAATTTCATTCACTTTTCTTCTCTCTTTCTCTTTTTTTTTATTTTGGTTCGTCGTTGTCTATGGCCATTTTTCTCTTGCTTAACTTACCCATTACTTCCGTTGCAGTGTGAATCGTTTCGGTTTTAATCCATTGGGACTGTTGATTATGTTCCAACTTAATCGCTCACTCAAGGAGGTTGTGATGATGAGGTTCGAATTCGAATAAGATCGAATTAACACATCACACCCAGGTTGAGTGAGTAATCAAAGTAGTACAATTTGCTCTCGTTGTCAGATGCAGATGTAACGAATAAACGCTTTCACTAATGTTTCCAGCATTGAAAAAAAGGCGAATGGAATAAATGGCCAAAGACACTTTATAAAACATAAAAAAGCGAAAGCTAATGGTGATAACACACGTCAACGTGATTTTTTGTTGTTTTTATTTTCGTTTTAGTTTTTAGCAATGGATTTAAATAATTCGGTAGACACAATTCCTAGACATCAACTCACACGTAAATAATTCAATCTAAATTCGCCTGAACCGAAAGTGCAAACGAACGGGGAATATTATTTATGAATTAATCAGGATAAAATTCACGCTCAGTTTAACGCAGCAGCAACAACCACAGCAATAAAAAGAGAGAGAATATATATATATATTTTAGCAGCAAAACGTATTCAGATTCATATTTTATGTAAATTCAGTTTTCGAAATTTGCTTGATATTCATACTGTATTATTGTCGGCCATTAGCAATTATGCTGAAGGTCCAAACTTTTTTAATTTCATTCAAAACAAAACAAGAACGTTCATATTCTCATCTCTCTCTCACTCCCTCTATCTTTATTTTTCAAATTCAGATTATAAACGATTTTCGTTTGTACAATTGCAGCGCTGGCGATGGCAAAAGCGATATTCACTTATATGTATCACAACAGCGACGCCGTTTAATGTTTTCAACTTAACACAATCATAAAGTCAAGATCGTTTGGCGCAACAATAACGGAACGTCATTTGAAATACTCGATTTTTCTATGTACGTATGCATGTGTATGAAGCAGAGCTGCTCTTTCCAAATGTAATGTGTTGAAAGTTCGCCAGACAATTTCAGACAATGCACAGCAATTTGCATTGACATATATTTTAATGACTGAGGGAATTAACATGAAGCTCTTTTGCTGGTAACGGTTCTTCAAATGCGCCACCAACATTTTCGTTTCGCCGACGGTTTATATGTTTGTTGTCGATAGCGCGTACATCGGTTTGTCGCCTGACATCAGTGTTTGTGGCATGTTTTGTTCGTTGATTTGCACCTTTTGATCATTTGTATCACAACGCTTTAATCTCTTGTTGCATTTCGTGCATTTCGTGTATTCCCTCCGCGAGGGTTGTATTCACATATAATCTCAAATTAATGGTTTGCCGTTCTTTTTTGCGGCTTAGTTTTGTTGTTTAGCGAAACTTTTTTTAAACAAAAAACATTATAATTTAAGCCAGTTGCATTTTCACAGTTCGACATGCAATTGAGATTCTACAGTGGAAATGCTTCAACATATAATTAATGCGATTCTGTAATTTTCATCTTCATCTCAAATACTTAAATAGTAAAACTTTTAGTCGAAAAGGCCACTGTAAATGTAAGAAATGGCCAATCTACACTTATTTCAACCAGAAATTCGTTTTTTCGAGTCCAGCATACAATTAAAAAAAAGCGCAATTTCCAAAAACACTCCTTCTTTAAATGTTCAAATGAATTTTTACATTCACATTTACTGTTGATTTTATGAGATTCATTTGATTGTGTTGAATTATAATCATACTGAAATTACTATTAAAACGAAGCAATAAAGTGAATTCCATTTTTAAAAACGACAGAGTTCACATAGTTTTATTTTTTTAGTTTTTGTCTAAAAAAGCCAACAAAACATTCAGAATAATTTTGCATTTAAAAATAGAGCATTATATCGTTGCACATTTGAAATATTCATTGTTTTGAAAGTTGCATGTTTGTGATTCGCAAAAAAATTTGAAGAAGAAAAAAATGCACTAGACAGTACAATTGTGGTGCTAAATACGGCATAAATTCATTTTTCACGCTACTTCATTATATTCGTTCGTATCAAACAGTTGACTAGATTTGAATTTAAATCTACGAACAGAACTGAAGTGTATATGGCACCGCGATGGTACAGCCACGTACTTTTTTAAAGTTGTCACTGGTAAATAATAGAAAAGCAATGAACTCGCAATTTGAACATGTTTGAAAGAGAATTGAGTTTGAAAATTTGAATTTCAATGGGGAAAAAACACATCGATATGTTTTCTAGTATGAGCGACCTACTTTTCACACTTTTTTTATCAGAAACATTCATTGATGCCTATTTTTGTTGACGCATTGTCTTTACAATAAACAATAAATTCCGTTGACGCTTGTTAGATTACAGCAAACGTGTTTCGAGATCAACATAAATGCATTCGCGTGAACTAGGATACATTTATATAAAATACGTTGCGTCAACAGAACAATCAAAACCAAATTACTTTTATACGTGACTTAAGTTGTGTATGTCGGATGTACTGTGCAAATAATGCGCATACACATACGCATTGCCGGTCAACGATAAGACTATGGATGGTGATTTTGTTGCCATCAATGCCATTTGGGTCCGTGGTGTGATGCATCTTCCGGATTCGAACCATCTCATTGAATGCATATACGTTTACACTTTTAGAGTCGTGAAAATTCGATTCGATTTCATCGAATTGCTTCGCGCTATCGAAAGTGTAATTACATATGTAATATATATCCAAAGAACGTCGTTTCAACAAACTTCAAGTGGAACAAATTGAAAAGGCCAAGAAAGTTATTTCTGAACTCGTTGTTCACACACCGCGTCTGTGTGAATCACAGTTTGCATATTTTAAAAGTACCCACGTACGCATATATTTAACGAAAATCATATTGTAACACAGTGATTTCCAAAACACAATAATCTCTACTGAAGGTATATTCGTTATGTAGTTTTACCAAAGTCAAGCTATTTTCAGCTTTTGACAATGTTTTCAAAGCTATAACCTTATAGCCGCGAAAGTATGTGTTAAAAAGCTTTGATTAATTGCAAATTTGGGGTATATTTTGACATGTTTATGCTATACGTGAAATAGCTTGTGAAAATTCAGTTTTTCTCTGAAATATACCTTCGTTTTACATGAAGGCGCTATGTCCTTTCATTGTGTTCGTACTTACATTTTAACACCAAACAAGTAAAACACAGCACACACACACGTTGAGTGTACATCGAACGTGAGCGCATGATTTTGGTATATCGTGGCATTATCGATGAGGGAAATGGATAGAAGAAAAAGAACCGAACTAATAAAGTCAATATTTAAGTTCATTTGAAAGCATCGAAAGTGGTGCCGCTGGCAGTGGCATATAACATGAAATTATCCTTAGACATAAACATAAACAAAACATTGAAAGTTCCATAAATGATCTTTTCCATCAAGTTTCATGGCAAATAACGTAAAAGTCAATCATTTTTACGGAGCCATTGTGCCATTCTCAAACATAATTCAAATTTTATTATATGAAATGGGATTTTATTCATCATCAGGCGCAGCTCTCTAAAAGTGTTGCCCAGGGAAATTTTTCCAGTTATTCTGATTTTTGTTTTCACCATATCTCGTTCGTAAGAGTGAGCATAGTGGTTCGCTTGGTCGCACTGTTGCCAGTTGGATTGCTTTATATTGAAAATTCATATATATTTTTTTCTTCGCCATTCTATTATTATTAAAAATGACTAGTGAATAACTACGAATCAATTTATGAATAATAAATAAAGCGGTGAATGAGGGATGCAACGATTTCATGAATTCAATAATAATCAATCACAAAAAATCGCCCGGAAAAAACACCATTCGACATTTATAGGCGCTGTGATTTACGTATGATATCAATAATTCTATAAATTACATTCGATTACGTATATTCGAATAAAATTAAAAAATTGGGGATGCAACGGTAGAGCAAGAACACGAGCGGCAAGAACAACAGGGAAAAAAATGAACATGCACATCCACAATGCACCGCTTCGCTACGTGCATTTAGTTTTATACGGATGCACGGGCATTTTCGAAATTTGGCTGTTGAAAAGAATTGAATGAAAAAACATTATCGTTGTTATTGTTAGGCTTTTGCGCCTTCTAGGGAATCAACATCACGTCACTTAAATGGTATGTGCACCATTTTTGATTTCGAATCCGGTGCTGTTCAATATATATTGTTGTGAAAAACTATCTCATTCGGATATTCGTTTCGCGTACCGTGCGCATTCGACTCAAATCATTCTATTGCGTTTTTTTATCATCATCAATATGCAGCGCGAACAAAAGAAGTTTGACAAATGATTGCTCATCTGCCCGATTTCATTGGCAGTGCCAATGAACTGCTGTCGAATTGATGTCATT